TTTGATTAGTTAAAGCAGGCATCATTGAGTTAGTTCAAAAAGATTAATTTGACGAAAGTTCAAGAGGGCTGTAACTAAATGAAGTGGCTATATAAAAAATAAAAGTTACCGGTAATAAAAAAAAATGAACGAAAGTTTAATTAATAATTCCAATTTGATGAACAAGCAATATTGTCACAGTCTTTAATAGAGACAATTATCTAAATGAACTTAAAGATGGGTTTCCTTGATTTTTAGTGTCAAATTAAGCAGTTCTCCCATCCCTCCCAATTAAAAATTCTTAGAACTCAAAAAGGACCATCACCTATTGATTCTAAGAAACGCTGGTGCTGATTGATTTTCAACAGCTGAAAAGTTGCACCGTCTGCGGTGAAACCATATAACTGAGCCAACCCACATGCGAGACAAATAGCCGAGCTGTTGACTCACCACGTGTGCGCCGGACTTGAGGTTGTTTCCTGGTCGTTTCACGTTTTCTTTGGTCGACTCCTGGTCGTTTCAAGCCGCTTCATGATTTAGTAAGTACGATTTACAAGTAGTTTTTTTTTCCAATTTAGTTATTCCTACATAATCAACCCACTGCGTAGTTGCAACAGCATTCATTGACAACTGTACGTGATCATAATTCATTGTAGTCTTCCTACACTTTTCCAATCACTCTGCTCTCGTATCAACAGACTTATTTGTGGGTACGACCAATGTCGAGCGGCAGAGATCTAGGCTAGGCCCACTGCACTGACGCTCGCAGTGGCATTTCTAAGAAATTGCCACTGATTACTCAAATTGGCGGCGGCGTTTTTCTTGCACAAATGGCAGAATGTGGCTAAAAAGAATTGGGAGGAAGTGGAAGCTAATAACTGCAGCTCAAGTGTTTACAAGTCAGTCAACAACACTTATTTAGAAAAAGAAAAAGCTTACCCAAAAGAATAAACGAAACCATCTTTAGTTGGTCTGTAAGGTTCATCTGCACAAACATCCCATCCACCATCAGTTATTTTACCCATTCTTAGTCTATCTTTACACTCATATTGTATATTTTGATCTAAATATCTACGATAATAAAATGATAACACATAGATCTGATATCTAAATTACCATGGAAACGATAACAATAAATGGATACTATGCAATATATACCTCTTCTCAATACATATTTCCAAGAATATTAGTTCACAGAGTTATACCATATTCTCAAAAAAGACATGCGAGGACGTCCATTTTGAATGAACCAGGAATTGATTGCTTGAATAACAAGTCATAACCTTGTCATACAATAAATAAGGCAGCACTTAACATGGCAGGCAACGAAGTAAGTAACCTATAAATACTTCGAATTAAAATACTAAACGTTTTAAGTCCAAATATCAAATTTTAGTTTTATTTCACAACTGCATGACGTACTACTTTCTGCACGTGTCTCCAACGTGAGTTATATGTCACTTCATCGACCGATTCAGATGCTTATAGTCCGCTGGTTTGGCTAAAAATGAAATTGTTGGGAGTCAAAACTAGATCATCTTGGGGATGAACATTGGCTTTACTAAAGTCTGAGTAAAAAAGTTGACCAAATTGTTGGGTTGAATGACTTCAGGAGTTTACCAACTTTAATTATGCTAAATATATTTAACTTACCTATGATAAATAGTAGATAAATCAGGCAAGCTAAGTTTGGGTATTACAGATAGTGGTAATATTGTCCATTTTCCATTCTTTTTATATTTAGAAATATCAATCTACGAATGAAAAACAGAATGGTCAAATATTGATTTCTTGTCATAAGCTTAATATGACCCATACAAAAACCCAAAATAAACCGAGTTACTCCATGAACTGAAATCTAATTGAGCACAAAATAATTCCTCATGTACTTTTTGTAGTATTTTTTTTTTTTTTTTTTTGCTCAAATCCAATGATCTTTATACAAGAATGACATTTTATATATAAAATATTATTTCAATTTAATAGTCAAAACTGAATATTCATCAATTTCTCATTAGAACATGTAGATTTTATTGAAATAAAACTAATACTATTGAAATAGGACAATATAAGTACCGTTGTTACAGTTTCTTCTTCCTTCTTTGTACTTAAATCTAAAAAAAGGAGATATAAACAAATAAAACAACCAAAATGAGCGGATACTGTTTTCAGATATTTTATATCCTATGTTTGAAGCAATTGTTAATATATTGTTAAATAGTGTCGTGAAATTTCAAGATACACTGTGATACATTAAGTTGCGTGAAGTCATCAAATATTGTACTAAATTTCGTCTTAGAGACATGATAAAGGTAGCAAAGCTTATGAACGGAAACTCTATTACTCTACATTGTTTCAATAATAGTTTATGTTAAAAAAATAAACAGCAAAATAATCATTGACATTGAATATTTAAAAATATCAAGAAAGGGTCACTTTAATTTTTTATTATTTTGAGAGTCATTATGTGCACTTCTCCCAAATACATATTTTTGGGAAATTAATTACTTCTTTGGCGTAATAAACTTGCTTAGAATTTATCTTAATGTAGTTTGAGATCGCTCCCTAGTCGTTTCTCTGCTCGATTCCTAGTCGTTTTCTGTGCGGTTCATGTTTTAATAAGTATGCAGAAATAGGCCTACATCAAATTATAAGAGATGTGGGCAAATAAAAATGACTTGTATCTATCTGGGTACTAGAATGCACCCTGAACCCTGGTTAGTGAGCATGATCTTTACTCACTGAGCTACCACATAAACCCAAGAATCACAACAATCAGAGATCACACACAGGTGATATTAGCTTTGCTTCAAACAGGAATACAGGGGGCTAATCTACCTGGTTTTTTAATTGGAGCAACTTTCAATCTATTGTTACCATCAACACCATCTGTAGCCGCTCTTTCCATTAAAGCATTTCTCTACAACATATAAATAACATAATTATTCTATATATTCTACCAGTTAATACGGTCATTTATAACGTCATTATCTGACAACTGTCAGTGGGCCATCGTATCACGAATACGGGTTTTCACACGATCTTATATGGTCCTATTTACCCGTATTAAAGCCCACTACACTTTGGGGGCGTTGAAATGACACAAAACACAACACCGCGTTGCCACCGCCAGTTTAAAGAGATAAGAACACATTTGTTCAACGTAAATATTCTAAAGAAAGGTTTGATTTTCTCCCGGCTTCAATTCTTTAACGAAAATCTTACTAAATGCTGTACCGTGTATTCATCAAAATATGTAAAGGCATACTGCTTTCGTTCGCAAACAAAGCGTCATAACGAGTGAATTGTTTTGGTTGGCTGAAATTTGCGTCAATTTTGATTGGACAATATTTAGCTATGAATACGTAATTTTTCTCCCTAAAATTACCACGGCCCCGAGGAAGTATGATGAATGGGCGTGAGGTTTGGACACGATACCAGTGGGCTTGCCTAGCAAGCTATCTTATAATTTATTCGTAATGAATCGTCTTGTAAGGATTTGGTTTTTTTTTCCAAGAAAAGTTGCCACGGAGCCCTTTTCAATACTTTTTAAAATTATTTCGTTTTAATGATACGTAGGCTATATGGCAGGCATGAAATCAATTTTCAACACAGTATGCAAAAAAATTATAATAGAGTATTACCCCCTAAAAATTGCAAGAAATTGTTTTATGGTATTATTTTGTATTACAAGGTGTGCAGAACAACATACAAAAAGTTACCAAAATCCCTTCACCAGAAAAGGTCCAAATTTGACATTTAAAAAAAGATGACGTCAGTGCCTTTGAAGGAACCTAAAAATGACGTCACTGTTTATAATTTATCTGCTTATACAAACGGACTATCGTAAAAGTTACACTTGCCGCTCTGCAACTTATCATAGTATTGAAAGTTACTGTGCCATTTATGTCACATAATCACGTGATTCTGGTAATTTAAGAATGAGAGACTGGTCGTTCAGGACTAAGAGTAAACAAAGACAATGAAAACAAGAACTTCGTAAGATAGTGCCTATGGATTCAAACTGAATAAATAAAATGTATAATTGGTGAATTAATAGCATTAAAGATGGATTCCTTTATTTTCATTTATGAAAATTCGTTAGTGTCAAATCACTGTTAAAGGTCAAAAAGTATTTTTTTTTTTTTGTTCATCCAGGCTGTATATACATGGACATTAATGTTTGGTTAAACTTTTAATGATATAATTAAGAATACACGATAATTCATTTGAAATACCAATTAAACAAATTTGCTTAATTTGACACTAAAAAATAAGGAAACCCACCTTCAGTTAGTGACAGGTTTATCTCACAAAGGCTCTAAATTTATGGACTATATTTAGATCTTAATATTACTTGATCACTGTTAAATACCGGAAGTAAAGAGTCTCAAAGAAGACACAATACTTTGCCAGTGACAACGAAATTTTCCATTCATTAACGAGTCAGGTTCAGCTTTACGGAAACTGCTAATGATTGCCAAATGCAGATAGAACTATCAGATTTCCCCATGGTTCTAGCTTGTGGAAAATTTTATACAGCCTCCTGAAGTTTGGGTCTCGAGTGCTCATATTTGACGCGCTAATAAACTAAAAGAGCGTTTGGTCAATATAGGTTTTAACATTTCGTTTTAAACGTTCATTATTTTAGGATAGGTGGAACAACATATTAGGGCCACAATGGCCGCCAATTCCCGTATTTCTAATAATTTTGCAAGAAAACCTGCATACAAAATGCAAGTAAATATATGCCTCAGACACTCCATAAATAATTACTGTTAAATTTCGAAATACACAAGAAGCTAAAAAAATCTTTCTCGAAATCCAAAATGGTCACCATTTCCATTTCTATCTCATTGTATTATAATAGATACTTTGTCAAGACTAAAATAGCACAGATTCGCTATTTCGGGGGTTAATTTGGGTCTTGAATAAATGAATATACATAGTTTTGATAAATACTAGAAATAGACTTAATAGCATAATTCCTTCAAAAATACCTTTATCTAGGAGTTTCACTTTCTATTTCTATATATGTATTTTCAATATATGACAAAATTTTACTAATTGACGAGTCGTCATTTAAACTTTCAAACACGGAAATTGGATTTTAAGGCTTAAATTTCGATGGTGAGATGTGAACTCTATTACTGATTAGCTTAGCTAAAATAATCCCTGTTTCTGTGACTAAGGTACGATTGGTGATAAAAATTGGCGCATATGTCCCCTTAAGATATATATCAGAAAGACACCTTTTTTCAAATACATATTTCTTATGCATTAAATATACACACAGAAGCACACACAAACAAAAAACAAAACAATAAACAAACAAATTATAAACTTCTGATGAAATCTTAAACGAGCATTCAACTCGGAGAGATGGTGGGGGTTGGGGCAACCATATTCTAATCTTATGTTTCATGCCCCGGCCAACCTTGTTAACCCTATATTTCTAAGCAGATGTGTGATTATTACTTTTACTAATCGTCATAGACACCTACCACTCTATATATCACTGTAAAACATTTACTTTCATATTTTTACTTGTTAATATATGCTTAGAGACATTAGAAACTATTGGCAACTGTTGAAAACTACTAGAAACTTAAGAAATCACCTTTAGAACAAAAAGAAAAGGATACCTTACCCAGAAGATCTGATCAAACCATTGAACAGTTTATGATGTGGCATCTGCAGGATGGACTTACGACCACGGAATTACAGACTGTTCATTGACAAAGAAGGTACATGCACTTTTTCGCTGTGCTGATATAATTCTGTTCACCAGAACATCCACTGGTACACCAAAGCAATCAAAAGGCAGGTCGAGAGACAATAAAAATAGAAACATCTTTTTGAATGGCTGCAGGAACGTTCATGAGTAAAGCTTTCAATATTGTCCAAAGGAAATGTGACTATGACAATCGACACCGGTTCGGCTGAAAGGGGGCGTCACCTGAAATAACACTTTCGATCGGTAGATCTGATATTTTTAGCAGCATGTTTTGTACCTACAATATATTTGGATATCACAGACTAAATGCAATTACAATAGTTCTTTCGTATCGTATGTAAGAAAGTGTAGCGTTTATTCCCAGATGTCCTACAGGTTAGTGGGCATCTCTAACTATTAATACTGAAACTGGAGATAGTTTAAATAAGATGATTTGGTGTTTTGAGTGCTAAATCGTCAAACGAATCTAGCCTTTTTCTAGATTTTAAAACTTTAATGTTTTATTTTCACAAATTTTCACCTAGATATTTTAATTGTTTAACGAAAAATAGTTTCAATCAAACCCTCCCTTCCCCGAAATAGAATAATAGCTTAGTCGACAAAATTTATTCCTAAATTTTTTGAAAATCAGTGGAGGTAAGGCTATCAAACGTATCCAGCATAAACAATATACAGTCAAGTAACCTAATTTCGTGGAAACCTATTATTCGTGAATTTTCGGAAATGATTAATAATTTACGTGAGCGACCTTGCGCGACCTCCGCATTAGTTTATTTTAATAAAAATGGGTTTTCTGTACAATGTCAGCTAGTAGAATGAATCCAGTAATTTCAAGAAAGGTAAAATGTATTAATGTATACTTTGACAAGTACAAAATGGCGGATTTCACTTATTACCAAACGTCATTTTTTATCGGCCGAATTTCATTATAATCCCGAGCGGTAATCGGAATTCCAAGTGTCGTCTGCTAGAATATAATCCAACGAATGAAGTCACGTGATCAACTAGCGGATTCCGTGTCAGCAGAAAATTTCTATGGAACACAAAGTATATTGCCGTCACCCATGTCCGTCCGTCCGTCCAACGGTCCGTCCGTCCACAATTGCTCGTATACACTCTACAAGACACAATTCTTGACGAATTTCGACAAATCTTGGTATGAGTGTTCGTAATCACCCAAGGATGAACCCTATTGAAAATCAGAAGAATCAAAAATATTAAGTATGAGTTATTGCCCTTGTTTTTGAAAACGCATCCAATTTTTAACTCTTAAACACTCTAGAAGGCACAATTCTTTACGGATATTGACGATACTTGGTGTGAATGTTCATAATCACCCAAGGATGAACCCTATTGAAAATCAGAATTGAAAAATATTTAGTATGAATTATTGTCCTTGTTCTTGAAAACGCTTTCAAATTTAGCTCTAAAAGGCATGATTCTTGCTGGATTTGACAAAACTTGGTTCTATTATTCAGTACCCCGCTGAAGATTGAATATTTGCCTTCTAATAATTTCACGAGCTAAAAATTGAACACGTTTTCAAGAACAACGGCAATAAATCATACTCAATATCATTCAGTATCGCTCTAAAGAGTTCAGAAGAAGTGAAATATTCAACCTTCAGTAGGTTGAATATTTCATACTGGTTACTGTACTGCTAAATATTTTTTATTCAAAAATCAAAGCTGCCAGTGGGCGTATATTACCTTGCCTGGCAAGCTATCTTTTCAACAGTTATCAGATAAAGTCATCTGGAGATGTAGCAAATAAACTCATAAACAAGCTTGAAAAAAGTGAGGGTAAACTAATTCACACATCTAAGTATTAATGTATATATAGTTTGCCCATCACTACTTGTCATTGTGTGCCTGGGGGAAACACGTCGAAACGTTCCATAAAACTTTAACCAGTGATTGTTGTTCCATAAGGCTGTGTCTATATATCGTACTCACAATTGTTAAATGCCATTCAAAGACATTATTCGTCATCAATATGGAGATGTAGCAAATAACTCATAAACAAGCTCGAAAAGAATGAGGGTAAACTAATTCAAACATGTAAGCATTAATGTATTTATAGTTTGCCCATCACTTCTTATTATGTGCCTGAGGACGACGGGGGAAACACGTCGAAACGTTGCATCAAACTTTAACCATTGATCGTTGTTCCATTAAGCTGTATCTATATATATTTATCAGATAATCTAACCAAACCTTACCAAGCCAACGACTACCATTCGACTACCAACAAGAATTACCATGATCAGAACGAAGAGGAAGAATGAAGAAAACCGAGTAACTCAGGCAACACCAACAAGGGCCGAGTTTCGCCGCCATGTCATTCGACCAGACCAGATCTTACGAAGTATCAACAACCAAACCAACAACACAGAATCGTCCAATTTGAACCAATTCAACTACCAACTGTTACGACTACCAATTATCACGACTAACAACAACTACCTAGTTTGCGATATCGGCATCCGCTGGAAGCGAACTTTAACCTGTCCTCTACCAACCAACCTAACAGTTCGAAACAACAGATTTGGTAGCTATGAACGAACGACAGATTTATTTATGTACTCTGATTTGTAATTACTTGTATGTAAAGTTTTACTTAGAATGCTTGTTATTTCCATCACATACTCCACCCACTGTAGAGTCGAATAAGCTCCTCTCCATATAACAATCCGCTATCAACTTACAAATAATTACATGTATTGTTATCACATAAAGGCATTATAAGACTAAAAGTACTATTTTGAGGTTGATATTAATTTTATTAAAAAAAAAATATAGACAAAAAACCAAAAGACTTTTTACTTTGCTTAGACAACAGCCCCTTTTCGTCTCATTTGCACCATTGAAGAAAAACCCCTTCGCGGTTTCCCAATCGCATTATAAGATTGTCTGTCGCCTATAATATTATAGTCCAAATAAACCATTCACATCTGTTTAAAATAAAAAAAAAAAAATAAAAAATTCACAGAAAATGCATATTTGTAGCCTAAGTAAAATAACGTTTTATATCCACATGACTGACTGAGATAAGACGTGTAATATTGGTCTGGTGATATCTTTATGGATGAATAATTCGTTATTAAGACTAAAAGTGAATAGATGCAACAATCTAATTTAACATTCATATACATATTTCGTGGAGAAACTAAGAAATTGAGCGGTTATGGATAAAAAAAAAAAACAGCCCAAACTTACAACGCAGACTATTTTTATAGTCCGAAATACCTTCCAATATGGTCATAAATCGTGACGATGAAGATGACTAAAGAAAGATAAAAGAAACTGGATCAATTTCTGATGATTCTAGTCTGAGTACCAGTGCACTTTTAGATTCTGTTCTCAAAAATGACCACAGCTTTGAAATATTTATCAGTGTATGTGAGACCTAAGGTACTTGAGTAATAACAGTATAAGAAATATCCGTAATCTTTTAATTCATGACGTATGATGTATGTTATATGAAATATTGGTATCAAATTTACTTCTATTAGTTAGATAAAAACAAGATTTATGTGCTATAATCATATTAAATACTATACTAGTATTCTGATACTAACATTAAATGTTAATCAACAGCTGATATATAATTATATAATACTGTAGTCAATTCATTGTTGTTCGAGTTCTAATATTTAACTGGTACTGTTAGTGTCAAAGTGCCCAGGGTATCAATATGTGATCCAAAATGGCGGAATTATTGGAAGATTATTTAGGGGACAACAACAAAAAAACTACTCACTGAAATGAACTTAT